GGAACACTAGTCTATGCGAGGACGTCCCGCTGTTAACGGGAAAGAGGGCGTATAGCTCGTGTTCTTAGAGTGGGTGTTATTTTTTGGTCTGTCAGGTTTTACGTGACTGTGCTCCTTAGGGTAGCTTATTTGACTCTTTTTGAGCGGAAGATTTTGGCGGCATCCCAGGGCCGGAAGGGTCCCGAGATGGTGGGGTGGTATGGAATTCTTCAGCCCTTTGCTGATGGTATTAAGTTATTTAGGAAGGAATATTTTACCCCTAGAGACTCTAACCCTGTTTTGTTTTTCTTGGGGCCTTGTTTTATGCTTTTTCATTCTTTTGTGTTATGGGGCTGTAGCCCGGGGGTTTGGGGCTGTGGGGTCCATTTCTTTTGGGGGGCTCTATATGTGCTTAGTGTGATGAGGGTAGGGGTTTATGGTGTGGTTCTTTGTGGGTGGTCTTCTAATTCTAAATATGCAATGTTTGGGGCAGTGCGGGCTCTTGCCCAGGTTATCTCGTATGAGGTAATGTTAGTTATGTTATACGTAATTCCTTTCTTTATAAGGCGTAGTTTAAATCTAAGAGATGTTCTTTTTTCTCAGTGAAGTGGATGTAATGGATTTGTTCTTCCTTTAGCTTTTCCTTGATGGATGTTTTGTGTTCTGGCTGAGACGAATCGAGCTCCTTTTGATTTTGTAGAGGGTGAGTCAGAGCTGGTTTCTGGATTTAATGTGGAGTTTGGGAGAGGAGGATTTGCTATAATCTTCATTGCTGAGTATGCAAGCGTCATTTTTATAGGTCAGTTGACGAGGGTCTTGTTTTTAAGCGGATTAAGAACTTTTCGGTGGGGGTGTTACTGGGAATTTATCGGAACGAGAATCTTTAGTCCGCTTATGGGGTTCCTGGTGGTGCTTTTGGTAGTGCTCTGCCGTAGAAGTTTCCCTCGGTACCGTTATGATCTTTTAATAAATTTGGTTTGGCGTCGGATTCTCCCTGTCCTTATGGGAAGGTTCTCGTGCTTTTTACTGTTGCTGTAGTTTCAGGTAAGTCCATAAATGGGAAGAAGGTTTCGGCCCTTCTTGTTGGAGAAGCCCTCCTCTTACCTGTGTTGGCCTTAACTTTGTTTTTAAGAAAATAAAATTTAAGTAGAAGTAATTAAATCATTTTTAATTGTTTGAGTAGGTGAGACTGAATTTAACGATAGATAAGCGATAGATAATTGATAGTAACGTGAGTGAAGGTAATTTATATCAGAGGAGTAGCAGCGATGGGTTCGCTGTACCTTTTGCATCATGGCTCTACTACTTTTTATTCTAATGAGGTAGCCCGAAAGTTTGGTGAGCTACTTTCTTGCTATGGGTTGGTGTTGTAGTATCATCCAGAGACGAGAAGATAGTGGCGAAATACTTTTCGCATTGACTGATAGCTGGTTGTTTTGGAAATATATAGAAGTATAGCCCTTTTTGGGGCGGGTTCTACAGGTATAGTTTATTTTGTGTTACAAGATTCCGCCCTCTTTTAGGAGATGGTTCCCCCAGGCTAAGCTGGGGGGGCGCTTAAAAAGGATGATTGGTGAAGTTTTAGGTTTACAAGTAGGTTTCAAGGAGCCATCTTCATGGAGTGGGTTATACCACATATGGGCCTTTCTTTAAAATTATAGTAGGTTTATCTTTTAGTTGTACGAAACCTTCCCACGAAACTACGTTAGTGGGAGTGATAATGTAGAGATGAGTAGTCGAGATGGTTGTAGTTATTTTTTGCTGCGGGGTAAAAAATAAAAATGTAAGAGTGCGTATTGGTAAACAAAGCTTAAGGAACTCGGCAAAAGAGAGGACCGCCTGTTTAGCAAAAACATGGCTTTCTGACTAACATGGGGGGTCGTGCCTTCCCGGTGGGTATACGAGCCTAAACGGACGCGGTAAATCGTGCTAAGGTAGCTAAATTATGGCCCATTAATTGTGGGTCCTGTGAATGGTTTGACGAGTCCTCTACTGTCTCAAGGTTGTTTTGGTGAACTTGAATTGAATGTGCAAATGCTTTCATACGAAAGAAAGACGAAGAAGACCCCGTGAAGTTAGAAATTCCTATTACAGCGTAAACCCACATTGACTGTGTCAGCGTTAAAGAGCAGATAGGGCTTTGGATCTTTTTTTGAAGGTCCCGGCTTTATGGCTTTTGAGCAGCGGAATGTAGTTTTGACGAGTTTTGGCTGGGGCAGCAAAGAGGCAAAACTAGACCTTTTTAATCACTAAACGGATACGTTACGACCCACAAAACATGAAAATCGTGATTAACAGAAGGAGTTACTCCGGGGATAACAGCGTAATCTTCCTTGATAGTTCTTATAGATGGGCGGGTTTGCGACCTCGATGTTGGCTCTGGGTATCCTGAGGCATGCAGGCGGTCTCAAGGGTTGGTTCGTTCGCCCATTAAAACCCGACGTGAGCTGAGTTCAGATCGGCGAAAGCTAGGTCGGTTTCTATCTTCTTTCATTAAAATTTAGGCGGTAGGGTACGAAAGGACATTCGGCTTTAGAGTAACAAACTGTCAGTGCTGAATTTAAAATAACGTGAGATTAAGGGTGAGTGAAGATAAAAAGTTTAATGTTTTGGTTTCTTGGGTGGGGTAATATAAAAAGTATATTGGGCTCATGCCCCAATCGCGGAAGGCTGCGATTCCTTTCCTCTGCCTTCGGCTAGGTTTTGGCTTAGTCAACAGTGATGCGTAGATGTATATCTTTGGCGGGGTTTTTACTACTCCCCCTTATCCCTCCGGTGAAGGCGGGGCAAAATAAAAAGTCTGGTGTCTATTTCTTTAGCATGGTTATTGAGTAAGGAGAGCGTCGGACTTGGTCGTTCATGGGAACGTGTGGGTGTCTTCGTAAGAAACGTTTCTGGGATAGTTGGTAGGTGGTAGTTTGGTTCTGGTTACCTAGCTTGGGTAAAACATGGTCAATTAACACATGGTAGTTAAGGCGCAGAATGAGTATGAGTTGGCTTTTCTACAAGGGGGGCCACGGAGCCCCTTGAAGGAAGCTCATGACCAACAATCAGAAAAAATTCGAGGACTGTTAGTAGACGATCCATACCTCCAGTGAAAAGGTCTTGGCGATGTGCGGCAGCTAGACCGGGATATCGTTAGACAGGGGAGTCCAACCAGGTGCCAGCAGTCGCGGTTAAACCTGAGTTACCCAATTCAAGTGTGACAGTGCAAAAGGTGGTGAGACAGCCCTCCCCTGCTACGAGCGGGGGACAATCTTAGGAAAAAGAGAGGATCGATCCGGGAAGGATAAGGGTGCAATCTGGTTAACCCTCCTGAGGAAAGGGGAAATTTCTTCTCTAGGCTGAGGCCACGGAACCGGTGAACCGAAGACATGGATTTGAGACCCATTTATTGCCGACGCAAACTTTGCTTTGGGGCAGCTGCTTGGGTACTACGAGCGTGTGCTTAAAACTCAAAGAACTTGGCGGCTCGTTAACTACCTAGGGGAATATGCGCCTTAATCCGATGATCCGCGTAGCATCTTACTGTACCTTGAAAAAGAACAGCCGGTGTATTGCCGTCGTCAGCCTGTTGTTCGAGCAAAGAGAAACAGGCCCAATGGAACTGGCGATTTGTCGACAGGATCCGTAAAGTCAGGTCGAAATACTGCCCATGGTACGAGGGAGTGGGTATTACAATTCAATTTTCGAACTACGGAGCTTGGAAGAACTGTGAAATCTCCAGGTGAAGGTGGACTTAGGAGTAAGGGGAGATTAATATGCTTCCCTGAACATGAATCTAACTTGTGTACAAACCGCCCGTCGCTCTCGCCGGAAGGTGAGATAAGTCGTAACAAGGTAGGGGTACTGGAAGGTGCGCCCTGACAAATGAGAGCGGGGGAAAAAATTGGGCGTAGAGCTCGGAGCTGTGGTTTCCACTTTCCCTCTCGTTTATGGGCGGTGTGAGGGTTTGTCTCAGCTCAAGGCTCAGTTCAAGGTCGGCTTGTTATCTGACAAAGGAGTCAGATAATAAAGTTATTTTTTTTTATTTTTTTAATACTTATAGCCTAAACGTTTTCTCCTGGTTCTTCGTCTTTCTCCCCAAAGAATGAAACTTAGAGCGCTTAAGGCGGAAAGAGGTACGGCCTTCCGCCGAGAGAGAAGTTTTGAGGATTCGAAGGGGGGAGAGAGGGAGGCAGGTCTGTAGGAAAAGGGGAGGACTCAAGGACTAGAAAGGGTGGAGAGGAAGAGAGGGGGCAAAAAAAAGAGAGAAAAAAGGTGTAAGGGGGTTCAAGGGGGAAAGGGATATCATCCCTAACTTCCCCCTGTCTAATCTTTATTCTAGATTGTTGCAAAGGGAGTAGGGGATATTATTCCCTAATCTCTTTGTAGGAGGAAGTGCCTGGGGCGAGGGTGGCACACCCTGGGCCCTTAAAAGGAAGGGTGTAGGGGGGTTCAAGGGGGGAAAGGGGATATGCTCCCCTATACTCCCCCCTTCCCTACCTAAGGGGGTGTGCTTTTACGGGTCCCTGACCCATCTCCCGGTCCTTGGTGGTATTGATGCGTTGAAAGCGGTGGCTAATAGCTAATTCGCATAAGGACGTCGGAACAATGTACTTTATTGTGGGAATGTGGTCAGGTCTGGGCGGCCTATCCTTGAGTTGGATAATGCGGCTCGAGTTAAGTCGGCCTGGAATGTGGCTACCTAGCACAGAAATGTACAACTGGATTGTTACTCTTCATGCGATTATGATGATTTTCTTCTTTGTTATGCCGGTTCTTATTGGAGGGTTTGGAAACTGGCTTCTGCCTTTGTTGTTGGGGGGAATTGACATAAGATTCCCTCGGGTCAACGCTCTGAGGTTTTGGCTTGTCCCTTTTGCTCTATATATGGTGGTGGTCTCACCTTTTATTGAGCAAGGAAGGGGAACAGGTTGAACTATGTATCCTCCTCTTTCTTCAACTCCGTACCAAGGGGACATTTGCACGGATATGGTAATTCTAGGATTGCACCTGTCTGGGGTTAGCTCTACTGCCGGGGCAATTAACTATCTAGTTACTTTTCTGAATATGCGTGGTAAAAGGTATAAGGCGGAGTTTTGTCCGCCATTCGTTTGGGCTCTAGCTGTAACTAGGTTTCTACTAATGATGTCCCTTCCGGTTTTAGCCGGGGGGTTAACTATGTTGATCTTGGACCGGCATTTTAATTGTACTTTCTTCGACCCTTCGGGGGGAGGGGATCCTGTGCTGTTTCAACATTTATTTTGGTTTTTTGGGCACCCCGAGGTTTACGTATTAATTCTTCCCGGATTTGGATTAGTATCACACATGTTGGTTTTTTATACCAAGAAGATTCGGGTATTTGGTGCGGTGGCAATGATGTATGCCATAATCTCTATCGGAATTCTAGGGTTTATTGTGTGGGGTCATCATATGTTTACCGTAGGGCTAGATGCGGATACCCGTTTCTACTTTACCGCGGTAACCATGCTAATTGCTGTGCCTACGGGGGTTAAGGTGTTTGGTTGGATTGCAACTATTTTTGGGTCTTTTTTAAGGTTTGAGGCTCCTATACTATGGGTAATTGGGTTCATTTTAAAGTTTACTGTGGGGGGAATCACTGGAATTATTCTGTCTAATGCTTCTCTAGACGTAGCTCTCCACGACACTTATTATGTAGTAGCTCATTTTCATTATGTGTTGTCGATGGGTGCGGTCTTCACTATTTTTGGTTCGTATGTCCATTATTTTTCGTTGCTTACGGGGAATGTTTTCCACCGAAGTTGGGCGCGAGGTCACTTCGTTTTAACTTTTGTTGGGGTGAATTTAACGTTCTTTCCGCAGCACTTTTTAGGATTAAGAGGTATGCCACGACGGATTCCAGACTACCCCGTTTTTTATTATTATTGGAATCAGTGAAGAACGGTCGGATGTGCTATAATTCTTTGTAGGGTTTCTCTTTTTCTGCACATGCAACTAGAGGCCTTCCTAAGGTCTCGTCGTCCTTTAATGGTTGGTAATCGTCCTAGAAGGTTGGAGTGGGTAGTGATACGGGGTTTTCCGTGTATGCGTCGCCATACCTTTGTGGAGTGTTTAGCTATTCGCCGAATGTATAAGGTCACGAACCGTCGTAAGAAGTTTATGGCTACAGTTGATCCTGAAGAAGTGGAGTATGCAAGGGGATTTGTGGTTTCTGAGGCAAAAAAAATTTAGGTTGTTAAACTCGGTTTTGTTGCTTTGGTCAGCCTTAATGTAGTGATTAGAAAGTAAGGGGGTGGCAGATAAATGCTACCAGGTTAGATGCCGGAAGATGGGCTTACGGCCCCCCCCTTAGTTGACTAATTTTATAGGGTTTCTTGTAAGGCTAATAAAAGTATTGGTCTACGGGGCTATTGTGTTGGTGGTTGTAGGCTTTGTTGTGGTTATTGTTTCCTGAATTTTCTTTTTCTTTATAAGAAAGCATCTTGGAAATCCTTCTGCACACGAGAAAGAAATGGCGGAAAAGAAGCGGAAGGAAATAGAGCGCAAGAAGCGGGTAGAGGATTTCAAAAAAAAATTGTTTTAGGATTAGTAGCTCATCCCTGCCGTTGGGCTATTTATAAAATTTGTCCTTGTCCAGTGCAGATTAGGGCCTTTAGGCCTTAATGGTGGTTTTACTATCCTGTATGCTTAAGTTATTTTGTTCTTGGGCTGGGGTGTAAGAGGAGAAACAGTTGTTTGTGCATTGAGAATTCGGCGAGAATTGGTTGGGTTTCGAAATCCTTTGATGCCTTCATGGTGTTGGGTGTAGAATGGGCTTCTATGTGCGCATTCGTCGGGACAGGCCTCTTGGCCTCTCTAAGGTCTCCTTATCTGTTGGGCCTCACAAGCCAATGAGGACTGCTTTGTGTTTGTTGGGTGAACCAGCAAGAGTTGCTTTATGTTCTTTCGTAAAACCTCGGAAGGTCGCTAATAATGAAAGGGGGGTGCATGACGGATCTTGTATTTATCTTCCTGCTAACCTCGATAAGCGAACTTCTCTGGTGGTGTATTCTAAGCCTGTAGGTGACCTTATGGAACATCCTTGGGATTTTTGTGTAAACTGCGAGTTTATCAACCGAGAGGGGGTTTGGGGGGATTGGGTCCGTCCGTTCTTTTTTCTTGTTCGTGTAGACCCGGAGTGGATTAAAATGCTACAGTTTCGTTGTGGTTATGCTAGTAATGAGTCTCTTGTTGACGTTAAAATGGTCCATCTGGTTGTCCTGAGAATTGTGCTTGTTTGTTTGTTCAGGGCACCCCGTCTATTTTAATGAGGTTATAGTGGTTTACTCAGGAAGCTCTGTAGTTGAAGAACAACAGTAAGCTGCAGTCTTGCTAGTGGTGGATTATGAACCCCCCAGAGCTTTTGGTTCCCTTAGTGTATAAACACTTCTGCCTATGTTCAGAGAATGGGGGTCCGCCTCCAGGGGTCATATAGAAGGAAATTTTGTTCTCTTCCATATTAAAGCCAAGGATGAAGGTAAGTTATTATGCTCGATGGTTTGCTTGGGAAGCTTGTTTTCTTTCTCTTCTGGGGGCCCTCCTTTTGGGGGAGGATATATATGTTGTGGGTTGAGAGTTATTGCGCTACAGAAGCTGTGGCTATAGAATTGAAGTATTGGTTGACCGGGTTGGGCTTATCTTTTCTGGGGTAGTCTTTTTAGTTTCTGGGTGTGTTTTCAAGTTTAGGGACTTTTACATGCGAGGGGAGCCGTATAGTTCCCGGTTTCACTGTCTTCTAATGTGTTTTGTATTCTCTATAGTGCTATTTATTTTTATTCCCAATTTGTTTGGTTTGATGTTAGGATGGGACGGTTTGGGGATTTTTTCATTTCTACTGATTATTTTTTACCCCGCAAGTAGTTCTTTGTCAGCTGGTTTTTTTACGGCTTTGACTAATCGGCTGGGGGACAGTTTTATTATCTTAGTTATGCTGTTTAGAGGTTTATCACTAGGAGAAACAAGGTGCTTAGGGGAAGGCTTGGGTTTTCTTGGGTTTTTTTTGGCCCTAGGGTCCATAACTAAGAGGGCTCAATACCCCTTTAGATCTTGGTTACCTCAAGCAATAGCAGCCCCCACACCCGTGTCTTCTTTGGTCCATTCTTCTACGTTGGTTACAGCGGGGGTGTTTCTCATTATCCGATACTGTGAAGGGCTAAGTGGGGGTGTTTTAAGGGTGTTACAGTGGTCCTCCCTGATCACCCTCATGATCTCTGGTGTGGCTGCTTGTCTTGAGTATGATCTAAAGAAAGTGGTAGCTTTGTCTACGCTTTCGCAGGTTTCCCTGATAATGTTTTCTGTGAGGGTTGGTTTTCCCGCGCTAGCTTTCTTTCATCTGGTGGCTCATGCGGTGACTAAGGCGCTTCTGTTCATTTGTGTTGGGCTTATCATCAAGGGGTATGGCCAGGATTTACGTCGACTAAGGAGGTGCTTTAAGGAAGCTCCAGAGGTAAAGTGGTATTTTATTAGAAGATGTGCTGGGCTTTGTGGGTTTCCCTTTTTCAGGGGGTTTTATTCAAAAGAGATAATTTTAGAGACTTTGTTTATGAGGGAGCTCAGAGTGGTAGGAACTTTTCTTTTTTTGGTGGGGGTATTTAGAACTGGGTACTACAGGGCTCGTTTAATCTTCTTCTGTTTTTTTAGGAGTCTAGGTAAAGGTCGGGAGAGTGGCTCGATGGGATTTCGAAGAAGGGGTTGTGACTTGCCAGAAGTTCATTCCTGCTGTTTCCCCCTTTTTTTGTTTAGGGTTTTTATAGGAAGTTGAGGGTCGTGGTACATTTTTACTTCTCCTTGCTTATACTCTTTCGGGCTTGTGAAATTTATGGCTATTAGAATTCCGGGGTTGGGGGTTTGGTGGTTTTGGGTGCGTGAGATTGCACAGTCTTACCGAGGTCATTACTTCTGGCAGGAAGTTGACTTTGGGGGGGAAAGTTGGCGGGAGAGAGAGGTAAACAAATCGGGAGTCTGGCGTCGCAGTTTCTTTCGAGAGTTAGGGTTTTTGGATGGGTTAAGAAGCCAGCCTTTTGTATATTGGGGTTTTATGCTGTCAGAGGAAGTAAACTCTTGGATAGAGCAGGGATGGTTGGAATACTGTGGCCCCATGGGGCTCTCCAGTTGGTTCAAAAATTTCCTGGACTGTAATATGCTTATAAGCAGTCATTGGTTTAATTTCTATGTTGTTCTGTATGTGGCTTGTATTGTTTTCTGGGTTATCATTTCTTAAAGCCCATAACTTTGAGGGGTTGTGGTATAGTTGCCTATGATGGAACCAGTCGGTTGGTTGGCTTGGATGGTGGTAGTAATGTTATTGAGGTATGGATTTTTCTGCGTTTTATGGTTTGTACATGTTCCCTCGACAAAAATTGAGTTGCCTAAGAAGCCTGAGACGCCCCCTTTTAAGTGGTAGGGCTTTAGTTGTTTTCTGTTATGTTTCTATATGAGAAGGCATCTGCGTTAGGGGGGCTCAGAATGATGGGTTGGTTCTCTTGCCTGTTTTTTGTGGGAGGTTGGTTAAGGTTTGGGTTTCAATATAAGCACATATTGAGAGGACTCTTATGCATAGAGGTGTCTCTGGTGGGTGTTCTGGGAGGTATGATGGCTATGGGTCCTTTGGGGTGCAATTACACGTTTTTCTATATTTTGGGGTTGGGGGTTTGTGAGTCGGCTCTGGGCCTTTCCTTATTAGTAGTATTTGCTCGTAGATATGGAAATGACTTATTTAAGGCCTTGGATTGTCAGGGGTGTTAATAGAAAACTTCCTCATCTAAGTGTTACTTCTCAAAACCCATAACTTTTAAGGGTTGTGGTATAGTTGCCTATGATGGAACCAGTCGGTTGGTTGGCTTGGATGGTAGTAGTTATGTTATTGAGGTATGGATTTTTCTGTGTTTTATGGTTTGTGCATGTTCCCTCGACAAAAATTGAGTTGCCTAAGAAGCCTAAGACGCCGCCTTTCAAGTGGTAGGATTTAGGCCCTGGGGAGGGTAGTGAAAAAATCATGGGTGGTTGTCTTCCGCCTGTTGCGCCGTGAAACGCCCCTCCCCTATATTCGAGCTGGAAATTTGGTATTTTTTATCATTTATGATTGTAGGCTTGTTTGTAATAGCTGGGGCTTTAGTGGGTCCTCAGGCTGTTGGTTGTTGTTGTTTTGCCTCCGTGACCCTGGGGTGCTTAATTTTTGGGTATTGTGGGGCGGTGTGATTAAGCCACTTTGTCTTTCTTTCGTTTCTCGGGGGTTTATTGGTGATTTTTCTTTATGCTGTGGCCTTGGCTCCTTCCCCCCTTTTTCTTAGAGTTTGAAAGACGGTAAAAGCTCCTATTAAGTGGATCGTAGGTCTTTTTTTAGTGACATATGGGTTGGTGTTGTTGACGGGGCGGGGGCGATTCTTAAAGTGCTTGTGTACGGGGTATTATGAGGTACCTTATTTTTCCTCTCCAGAATACATAGGAAGTGGATGGATTAGAAGGTCTAGGTTTTTGTTTTTGGCAGTTCTTTTGGCCATTTGCATGGTTTCCGTCACTAAGCTGTGTAGGTACAACAAGACTGGGGCTTTGCGGGGTAAGCGAAGAACTATAAGATAGGCTAAGGGTGGGGGTGGCAGACGAATGCGTCCGACTTAAGCTCGGAAGATGAGTTAGTAGCTCTCTCCATTTAGTTGTTCAACATTAAAGAAGGTGTGGTGTTTCCTGCGCTCAAGGGGGTCTTTTATGACTTACCTTGTCCTTCAAATTTAAGAATTTGGTGGAACTTAGGATCCTTGTTGGGTTTCTGTGTGGCGGGGCAGGTAGTTTCTGGGTGGTTTTTGTCTTTTTACTATACCGCCCATGAAGATATGGCTTTTATAAGGGTCTCTTTCATTATGAAAGAAGTGAACATGGGTTGGGCGTTTCGGGGATTCCATATTAATGTAGCCAATTTCATGTTTGCTTGTTTGTACCTTCATATTTGTCGTGGGTTATACTACGGCTCTTTTCGCTTATACAAGGTGTGGGTCAGGGGAATTGTGCTGTTCCTTCTCGTAATGTTGACAGCATTTACAGGGTATGTTCTCCCTTGAGGTCAGATGTCGTATTGGGCTGCTCAGGTAATTAGAAGGATAGTTACCGCTATCCCCGTAGTGGGGGGGGATGTTGCTATGTGGGTATGGGGCGGATATGCCGTTGGAAATATTACCCTGAAACGTTTATTTAGGGTTCATTTTCTTCTTCCTTTTATTATTCTGGCAGTGTTCTTCTTACACTTAAACTTTCTTCATGAGAGGGGCTCAGGAAATCCCTTGGGGGTTGACACGGATTGCTGTCTAGTCCGGTTCCACAGGTTTTTTACAGTAAAGGATATAGTGGGGGTTATGGGGGGTTGTGCTCTTTTGTGTTTTATAATTGCTTTTTATCCCTATATGCTGGTAGATGGGCAGAATTTTGTTATGTGTGATTATATAGATACCCCTAAAAGAATTCATCCAGAATGGTACTTCTTATTTGCGTATGCAATTCTCCGCTCTATTCCGAACAAAATCGGGGGGATTTTACTAATGCTGTCTTCTATTATGATCCTATTTGTGATTCCTGAGCTTTGGGTTGGCAAAATAGAATCCTTAGGTAACTATGTTTTTTGTCAGTGGTTGTTTTGGTTTTGGGTTGCCAATTTTCTTATTTTGACTTTTGTTGGAAGGCAGGGGGTAGATGAGCCTTTTGCCCGGGCGGGGGAGCTCAGGACTGCTTTTTACTTTGCTTTCTTTCCGCTGTTGGGGGTAGTGCAGCGGTACGAAGACTTTGTAATTCGAAGAATTAGAAAGGTGAGAAATGGAGAGAAGTACGATTGGATGGATAGGGTCCTTGGGTGAAAAGAGGAAGAGTTAGATGATGAAGAAGACTTTGGTCCCACCCGGGGGGGTTTTGGCGATAAGCTAATAAGAATAGAAGAGGCTAATAATTTGATAATGTTGGAGCCGTACTGCTGGGGTGGCGAGCGTCGTTTTTTAAAGGAAAACTAATGTTGTTGCGCAATTGGCTAGAGTAATCGAGCAGATAAAGGTAACTAATAATTTTTTTATTTTTTTTAATACTTATAGCCTAAACGTTTTCTCCTGGTTCTTCGTCTTTCTCCCCAAAGAATGAAACTTAGAGCGCTTAAGGCGGAAAGAGGTACGGCCTTCCGCCGAGAGAGAAGTTTTGAGGATTCGAAGGGGGGAGAGAGGGAGGCAGGTCTGTAGGAAAAGGGGAGGACTCAAGGACTAGAAAGGGTGGAGAGGAAGAGAGGGGGCAAAAAAAAGAGAGAAAAAAGGTGTAAGGGGGTTCAAGGGGGAAAGGGATATCATCCCTAACTTCCCCCTGTCTAATCTTTATTCTAGATTGTTGCAAAGGGAGTAGGGGATATTATTCCCTAATCTCTTTGTAGGAGGAAGTGCCTGGGGCGAGGGTGGCACACCCTGGGCCCTTAAAAGGAAGGGTGTAGGGGGGTTCAAGGGGGGAAAGGGGATATGCTCCCCTATACTCCCCCCTTCCCTACCTAAGGGGGTGTGCTTTTACGGGTCCCTGACCCATCTCCCGGTCCTTGGTGGGTCCGGAAGAAAGGGTAGTGAAAGAATCATGGGCAGTTGTCGTCCGCTCGTTGCGCCGCTGGGCGCCCCTTTTTCCAATGAAGCGTTGTCCCTTTCATCGAGTAGACCCGAGCCCTTGGCCCTTTTTAACGTCTTGGGGATTGGGTGTTTCTGCAATTAGATTTGCGCAATTTCTGCACGGAGATTCCTTTTATTGGGTAGTAGCAGGGCTTTGTAGGACCGTTATGTGCATTTACTGATGGTTTGTTGACATTGTTACCGAGGCCACCTACCTGGGCAAGCACACGATTCGGGTGCAGCGTGGAATTCGAATTGGGTTCTGTCTTTTTCTCTTGAGGGAGAGAATATTTTTCGTATCATTTTTCTGGGCTTTTTTCCATAGGGCTCTATCCGCTAGGCATGTTGTGGGATGTTATTGGCCCCCGGAAATGCTTTCCATACATTGTAAGGGTATTCCGTTAGCTAACACAGGTTTATTGGTAGGGACGATTTATCCCTGCAATGTCGCCCAGAAGGCGATTAAAAGTGCTCAGCTTCGTCCCCTTTTGCTTTGGTTGGGAGTGGTGATGGTGATGGGGGCATGCTTTGTGGGTCTCCAGGTCTGGGAATACTACACAGCCAAGTTCACTATGGCTGATGGGATTTACGGAAGGTGTTTCTTTGCTCTGACAGGCCTTCATGGACTACATGTGGTTGGAGGGCTGATTTTTCTGTTTGTGGCCTGAAACCGGGCTCGGTTGGGCCATTTTTCTCCCCAGCGTCATTTAAATCTGACTTTCGCCGTATGGTACTGGCATTTTGTTGATGGTATTTGAATTGCTGTGTATGTGTTTGTATATATTTGAACAGGGTGGGGGTGGCAGTGAAGGTTTACGGAAATATTTAGAAGTCTTTCTGCGCTGCATTCGAAGGCTGTGTTGGTGATTGAAAGGCTGGAATCTAGGGTATAGGGGTTGGTAGCCTAATGCAGGGCGGCGGACTTTTAATTCGTAGGTGTAGTGTAAAAAGCTTCTCAACCTTGAAGTGCTCCCTGGGTAGTTTAACAAAAATACAACGCTGAAGTTGTTGGGTTGGTCTGTACGGCCTCTGGGGGTTTAGGTACGGCTAATCAGGTGAGTGGGTTTGAACCCTTCTTCACAGGGAGTTTGAGTTCTCTGCGTACTTAGTTACGGGGTGGTGTATTGAGCACGTGGGTTTTTGGAGCCTGAAGGGAAAGAGTAAGAGCTTTTCCTCGTATAGGAAGCCTAGGTAGTATATGAAGTGCGGCCGTTTTTCGTGCGGTAAGTGGTCTTAGATGATCCCTGGGTTAAGGTGACTAATAACATGAGGTTTCACAGATACTTCAGACAGTTCGATTGGAGGTTCAGGTTAGGTACTTTTTTGGCTCTATGTCTTCCGTTCTTTATCTTGTCTCTCGTAAGAAGACCTTTCTTTATAAGCGCAGGTTTACTGGAGACGGCTTTCACTTGGGGTGCATTAACTGCGTCAAAAGCTTTTTTAAAGAGTCCTTTCGGAAAGAAAGCAGGAGGGGCCCACTTGATGGTTTTTTTGGGCTGTGTTCTCTTTAGGGTGAATTTTCTGGGGATAGTTCCTTTTTTGAAGGGTGCGAGAACCAGGCCTAGGTTTGTTTTTTTCTATGCTCTGTTCTTTTGGAGACTGGGGACGTTGGGGAGATTTATTGGGGAGGTGGGTTTTATTCGAGGAGTTTGGGTCAAAGGATCTCCCTTTTCTCTTAACTTGGTGGTGGTAGCGTCTGAGATTTTAAGCTGGTTAATCCGCCCCGTGGTTCTCGGGTTTCGGCTCCTGGTAAATGTGGTTTGTGGACATGTTATGTTGGCTATTATCGGGGAGGCGTCTATGTTTTTGGTCTGAGAAGGTCATTGGTTTTTCGTGCTGGTCAGAATCCTAGGGGGTTGGTTGATCGGTTTACTGGAGTGGTTAATCATGGTGGTTCAGACGGCTATTTTTATGGGCCTAGTCGGGTGGTCTTGGAGGAGAAGGCCTAAAGCCCCTCGTTCTTCTGCTTATTGGTTTTTTGGTTTCCTTCACTTATTTTAAGGATTAAAATTGACAAAGTGTTTCCCCATAGTTTGTTGTTCTGTTAGAATGGGATCAGGTCCAATTTCCCGAACCTAGAACGGTGCAGGCCTATAACTTGCAGTACGTCTACGAGGTTGCCTTACTCTTGAGGCTATTTGTTACTATTATTGTTGTGTGGTTTCTGCGAATGGCTATTTTTAGAAAGATTACCTGCAGAACTTACCTGGAATGTCCTCGCCTAGAGTTATTTTGGGGGACAATACCTATTTTTCTGTTAGTGGGAATGTGTGCGGTTTCCACTTTTGCTTTATATGTTAATGATGAAACATACAAATCGCCTGCTCTAGATGTGACGGTGACAGGCCACCAATGGTACTGAAGGTATAAAGTCGCCTTGGGGGACGAGGCTGATGTTATGGAGTGGGACTCTCGTTTAGTTCCCCGGGAGAGAGACAGAGAGAAAGGGTTTCTAGATCTTAGGCTTGTTGATCGTCCCCTAATGGTCCCCACTAAGGAACTTATTCGTGTGTTTGTTACAAGAGAGGATGTTATCCACAGGTGGGGTGCTCCAGGCCTAGGAATCAAGGTAGATGCTATTCCAGGTCGGTTGACTCGTGGATTGTTTGAGATGAAATTACCCGGGGTAGTCTGCGGCATATGCGTGGAGCTATGCGGGGCCTTCCATTCGATGATGCCCACGGTTATTCACGGTGTCCCCTCTGAGATCTATTCTAGGTGGGCGGCCTTCATGGCCGGTCCGTCCTATATGGGGTTCTGGACCAGGTCAGCAATGAACCTGGTCCAGGCCACCGATGAATTTAAGAACTCAGTTGGGGACACCGTGATAGGGCATCTGTTCGATGGGAGGCAGATCTCCCCCGCAGATCTGGTGAACAGCGCTAGAAGAACCAAATTAACCAAGGCGGTTAGGCGGTGTCAAAGCGCCTATAGTCATTTGTCCGAGGAGGGCAAGGCTATAGCTCTAAGGAGTGTTCATTCTCACCTAACCGAGGGGCAGACTGTCCGGGTTTTGGACGAGTCTGATATTATCTTGAAGGGGAAAGCAAAAGTAAATAATGTTAATTGGGGGGATGAAGTGGAGAGGGATGTCGTGGAGGACTTCATAAGGTGGATGGCTTAGTTTAAGAACTATATTGGGAAAGGAGATAATGAGAATTCGTAATTTGGTGTACGCCTTATGTCTTACCTTAAGAAGGGTTGTATTTTCTATGGTCAGTCCCAGGTGGTTTGGGGTGTGGGTGGGTCTAGAAATAAATTTGTTTGGAGCCCTCCTCTTCCTAGTAAATAACAAAAAGAAGACCGTGACTAGTGCCTTCAAGTACTATTTTGTTCAATCCTTTGGTTCAAGGGTAATGGTGATGAGAATCGTTTTGGGGGGATGAATGGGAGAAGATGCTGTTTTGAGGGGGCTTATCTGCGGCCTGGGAGTGAAGTTGGGGGCCGTCCCATTTCATTTTTGGGTGGTGGAGGTTCTTGATGGCATTCGCCCGAGTTGTATGTGGTTTGTCCTTGCAATTCAGAAGGTGGTGCCTTTCTGCTCGGTCTGCCAAGGGTTTCAAGGCGGATGGGTTTTGGTAGCTCTAAGTGGTGCAAGAGCCGTAGTGGGGTCTATTTCTGGAGTCGGTTCTACCCGCTTGTCCCGATTCGCTGGGTATTCCTCCGTGGCCCACACTGGTTGAAGGCTAGCTGCTTGTTTTGGGGGACAGGTAGTTCTGTTATATTACCTTTTAGCCTATTGGGTTTCTTTAGGGGGGTTTTTGAGGTTGATGGGGGGGGATGGATACCTAAGCAGGGTTAGAGGTGGAAGGGTTCGTCAGTCTCCCTTTAGTTTGGGGATCAGTGTGTGACTTCTTTCCCTTGGAGGATTTCCTCCCTTTGCTGGGTTTTGTGGAAAAGTTGTTGTTTTGATGCATGTGATAAAGTGGTCTCCGGTTTTGGCATTCTTCTTGTTAGGAAGGTCGGTGACCAGTTGAACCTACTATCTGTTTGTCATGAGCATAAGAATTATTGGGGGGAGAAAGAGCGTGTATCCTGAATGAAGTGACCGTTCGGTGGTCTTTGTTTTTTTGCTAGCAATTCCTTTTCTAGACCTTATGGAATTGTTGCTTTAAAAGTCAGAATCATGGTTTCCTCCCCTAGTTTAAGAAGAACGGTGGTCTTGTAAATCACAGGTGTAGGTGAAGTCTTGCGGGGTGGTAAAGGCATCCCGGGAAATAGTATAAGAAGATGTACGGTGGGTTTGGGACTCACGAGTCCTTGGTTCAAGGTTTCCTGTCAGGTGTTGAGCCGGGTTTAACGGGCTACTTTGATGTAGTAGAATTCAAGAGTTTAGGTCTCTTTAACACTTTAGGCGGGTTGGCAGATCATGTGATCGACTTAGGATCGGGAGAGGGGGTTTTAGTGCCTCACCCGCTTTCTGGGCAGAGTAGTATAATAAGTATGGTGGGTTCATACCCTGAAGGTGGGAGTGTGCGCCCTTCTGCTTAAATTGGCTAATGGATATTTTCTGGGTAGTTTTGTTTGTGGGGCTTTGTTTAGTGGTGGCTATGGCTGTTCAAACCTTTTGGTTGACCAAGCTTTGGTTCCGGGATTCTCAAAAGGCATCCCCGTATGAGTGCGGGTTTGACCCTTTTGGATCTGCTCGTGCCCCTTTTTCCGTACGCTTCTATATGGTAGCTATCTTATTTCTGGTATTTGAAGTAGAGTCATTAATATTTTTTCCCGTTCTTCAGGCCTATAAAGAAGGGGCTAAGAGTTTTGGGATCTACAGGTGGGGATTCTTATTAATTCTTACCTTGGGGTTGTTTGTAGAGCTGTATCGGGGGGCTCTTGAGTGAGCCCGGGATTAAGGGTGGTGGGTAGTTGTCTTGGTCTAGACTTCTAATCTGTGGCCAGGGAGGGTGACGACCTTCCGCTCACTTAGAAAAAATTGTTGGCAGTTTTAGGGGGACTGTTACCTTGCTGTGGAATGGTTGGCTGCTGGCAGCTGTTTATTCTATGCTTCCTAAGGGCACCTGTTTTATTGTATCGGGGGTCTTTAGAGGGATACGTGTTGGGGAGAACTTGGGTGGTGGACGATTGAACCGGCTCCTTGACCTTTTTAAGGTTTTGGTTGGGAGCTTTAATAATGCTTTCAACCTACCCCCGAAAAAGGTTGTGTGTGTGAGGAATTGTTCTTTGTTGTTTTTTGGCTTTTTGTTCGTACAGGTTTTTTTGGTTCTATATTTTTTTTGAGCTTTCCTTGGTTCCTGTTTTCGTGCTTATTCTTCGTTGAGGAGTCCAGCCTGAGCGTATTAGAGCTGCGTTTTATCTAATGCTCTATACTCTTACAGGATCTCTCCCTTTTCTGTTGTTTATCCTATCATGTTTTTCGGTGTATGGGTCTTTTTTCATGGGATTCAGGTGGGATCTGTTAAGAAGAATAGGGTACTGGGGCTGTGCCGGGGTTATGGTTTTTTTTATTAAAATGCCTTGTTACCCGTTTCACTTGTGGTTGACTAAAGCTCACGTTGAGGCCCCGACAGCGGGGTCAATAGCTTTGGCAGGACTACTGTTGAAGCTTGGGGGTGTTGGTTTGATGCGCGTCCTGAAAAGGTATGGTCAGCTCTGCTATAGAATAGAGGTTTTTTGGAGAGCTGTTGGAATTTGGGGTGGGGTATTAAGGTCTATTGTTTGTTTACGCCAAATGGATAGAAAGTCCTTGGTGGCTTATTCTTCGGTGGGCCACATAAGGTTAGTTCAGTTGAGGATTTTGAGGGGAAGAGGTTTAGGGTGGTCTGGTGCTCTATATATAATAGTGGCCCACGGTCTTTGCTCCTCAGGCCTTTTCAGAATTTTGGGGGAGTACTATGGAAAAGTTAAGAGGCGGAGAATATCTATTTGCATGGGGTTAAATATGCTTTTTCCCAGAACTACGATCTGATGGTGCATTCTTATTGTGTGTTCTATAAGGTGTCCTCCTGGATTGGCATTCTTAGGTGAAATTTTTATGGGGATGTCCCTCGCAGGCACTTTTCCTGGTTTCTGCCTATGGTTTAGGGTGGTCGGGTTTTTGGGGGGTGCTTACAGGTTAATTTTATACGGAGGGATGAGGCACGGCCCCTGCGGTTCTTCCCTTCGTCCCCGGTTTTCGGGAATTAGGAAGTGCAGATATTTAGGGTTGTTACACAGAGCTCCTCTTTTTCTTCTTTTCTTCTTTCCAATATTTTTATAGGGGGTTAGCCGAGCTAGTATACATAGTACGGGTGGATTACGCCCTCTTAGAAGCCATAGTCGGTTGCTTGGTTTTCAGTGAAGCGTTGGTTCAGAATGCGAGAAGCACACCTTCTTTTTTATTTTTTTAATATTTATAGCCTAAACGTTTTCTCCTGGTTCTTCGTCTTTCTCCCCAAAGAATGAAACTTAGAGCGCTTAAGGCGGAAAGAGGTACGGTCTTCCGCCGAGAGAGAAGTTTTGAGGATTCGAAGGGGGGAGAGAGGGAGGCAGGTCTGTAGGAAAAGGGGAGGATCCAAGGGCTAGAAAGGGTGGAGAGGAAGAGAGGGGGCAAAAAAAAGAGAGAAAAAAGGTGTAAGGGGGTTCAAGGGGGAAAGGGATATCATCCCTAACTTCCCCCTGTCTAATCTTTATTCTAGATTGTTGCAAAGGGAGTAGGGGATATCATTCCCTAATCTCTTTGTAGGAGGAAGTGCCTGGGGCGAGGGTGGCACACCCTGGGCCCTTAAAAGGAAGGGTGTAGGGGGGTTCAAGGGGGGAAAGGGGATATGCTCCCCTATACTCCCCCCTTTCTAAATGGTGCTCAAGGCGCTTAAGCGAGAGGGGGTCTGTCTCTCGCCCCAAAATCAGGGGGCTAAGAAACCAGCTTGGGGAAAGAAGTTAAATTTTTTTTCGTTCGAGGTTCCGTTTTTCCGCTTTTTCAAAAAAATTCGTAAAAATGGTGTTTTGAGCACTTTTTGCTCCCGTTTTTTTTCACTTACCCCCCCCTATGGTTTCCGCGGCTCCTTTTTACTTTTTTTCAAAAAAAGGGAAGGTTTCAAAACCTCTGAAAAAAGTCTAAAATGGGGGAAATTTTATCAGTAAAACTATGGGGGGGAAGAAGAGTAAAAATAATACACCAAAAACAGGCAAAATTGGATTTTTTCGTAAGGTAGTACCCTTTAAGAAATTCGTAAAAAGCGGCTTTTTCGCCTTTTTTCGTTTAGTCCACTACTCTGCTTTCGTTCTCGCGGTTAGAAGACAGTAGAATTGCGAAATGGAGAGAAATATTTGTGCATTTTTGGTCCAAAAAACCACTTTTGGTTCAAAAAAAATCACTTTTTTTCCTTAAAAACCTGTCTCTTTTTTTCCCTAGGCCCTAAGCAAGCCTATGTTCCTCGTGGTAATTTTTGCTCTAAACGGTTTTTAAAAAACTATTTGTTCCGGTGGGGATAGCAGATTCTAAGAGAAGCCAAAAAAACCAAAATATTTTTGCATGTTCAAAACCAAAAAAATGAACGATTTATGGGTAAATCACTTGTAAAAAATAGGAGGATTTTGAGATGCTGTTTTTTGGCCCCAAAAATTCAGGTTTTTTCACCCCCAAAAAATATTCTCCTGTAAATTGCTATGAATTGAACGCTGCCTGATTTTTTTCGAAAAAAACCTTTAAAAAMCCCTAAATTTCGGGGCGAGAAGTCTCGTAAAAAATAGGAGGATTTTGCAAAACTAAAAAATAAATATGCAAAAAGTTTACAAGGGTGCAAATGCAGGTTTTTATTTTTGGTCCAAAAAACCACTTTTGGTTCAAAAAAAATCACTTTTTTTCCTTAAAAACCTGCC